AAGAATTCCTTCAATGAGTTTATTGGAACCTTATTCAATCAATCCGAGGGCTCCAACTATGCATAAGATACATTGTAAGATACATCATACGATACTTTACAAGATAAATTACAAGATACAAAATACATTCTAAGATACATTCTAAGACACATTCTAATATACATTACAAGATGCATTCTAAGATACATTAAAAGATACATTACAAGATACAAGATACATTACAAGATACAAGATACATTAAAAGATACATTCTAAGATAGATTCTAATATAGATTATAAGATACATTACACGATACAAGAAACATTCTAAGATACATTCTAAGATACATTACAAGATACATTAAAATATACATTACAATATACATTCTAAGATATATTTTAATATACATTACAAGATGCATTCTAAGATACATTACAAGATACAAGATACATTACAAGTTACAAGATGCATTACAAGATACATTCTACAATACATTACAAGATATGTACTAAGATACATTACATGATACAATATACATTCTAAGATACATTCTAAGACACATTACAAGATACATTACAATATACAAGATACATATAAAGATACATTACAATATACATTCTAAGATATATTCTAAGATACATTATGAGATACATTACAGCATACATTGTAAGATACATTCTAAAATACTTTGCAAGATACATTACAAGATACATTCTGTGACGTCGTCCCCCCGGTCGCAGCGCCGACTGTGACGTTCTATCCTGATCTACCACGGCACCAGTTGTGACGTCCCCAAACAGCACCAACCAGACGTCCTCGCCGCGGCGCCAGCTGTTCGCTCCCTCGCTGCTCCGTTCGGGCGTCGCTGGTCCGAACGTGACGTCCGCCTGTCGCGTCAGTCGTGTTGTCTCGTCCTGTGATGACCAACTGGCTTGGTATCGGTCGCGGCACTCAAATGTGACGTTCTAACCTTTGCGATTTGGGTGGGAATCTGGTTAGATTGGATATCAGCCTCGTCGTTCCCAACTCGCTTCCAACGCCTGGTTACCAAGGTAACTGCATTGATCTCCAGTCCGCCTACCCACGTTGTGAATTGATCTTAGGCAGACGAGATCAAACAGTGGTTGGGGCCGTAATGCAAACTGAGTTCAACGGGGATGATACTGGCACAAATATGCATAAAAGAAAAGAAAATGAAAGCTCAAAAAGTTCAAAGAATCAAAGAAAAAGGTAACAAACTTTATGTCTAGTTGTTCGATACATAGGACTGCATCCATCTCCTGACCTGTTCTGTGGATTGTGACACGTCGTTTCTGCTAGGCAAGTTTTAACGCTTCAAGTTGTTTGCTCTCTAAGAAATTGGTGTTTCGGTGTGTCTTTTGGACGAAAGTCGAAAAAACTTATTTCGGTGGTCTGGTTCTAAGTCGCTCTTCAAAATAATTGTTTTGGGTTGAAGAGGAGTCCTAAATTTGCGTAAATCTTGGTCAGCTATCTCGAGGCGGTTTCAACTCTGAAACTCAACTCTGCTGGAGCCCGAACTGATTTCTGCCTTTGGGGCCTCTTTTATTGACGCCGACCAAAACCGGGGTGGGTCTGTTGGCGTCGGGGGTTCCTCGATAATTCTAAATACATATCCACCTCTTTTATTTCTGGTTAGGATTTTCCACACTTTTCCATTTTTGGGAAACTTTCTCACTCCCACTTTCTCACCATACCTCTGAGGGGCGTGAACCTCCCCACTTCCTTCGTAGCAGCTTCGCATACTTATACCCTGGATGGGGCGTCGACAGCCTTCTTCGTGCGTCACGTGATCACCACTGGCCAATGAGGTCTTGGTCGGGCATCTTTCCTCCTCCTTCGTGCGTCACGTGACCACCACTTGACCAATGATGTCTTAGTCGGGCGTGAATAATCCGTGGCTTTGTTTCGGGAAAAAAAATATCTTGCTTAACTAAAAAAATTATCTCTTCTCATTCCCCTTTCTTCCGCTTAAATCGCCGTTATCATTTTCAGCCACGAACGGACAATATGACAACTTGTTCTACACATGGTGTTTTTCAGGTATTTTATCGCTAATTTATCAAGATGGGTGGTCTTCTTAACGTGGCTTCAAAAAGAAATATCCCCAAAGTTTTCAGTCAGTCTGTCGCCTCCAAGGAAGAAAGAAAAACACTTCTGGGTCCCCATTCATTTTCCTTCGGTACATATTCCTGATAACATATTTTTATTATCGCAGGCCAAAGTTGTTTCGTCGAAAAAATTCGGTCAGCGGCACTGCTTGTGTGGCATTTAATTTTTCATATCTGTCCAAAGTCCTTTTTAGTGGCCTGTTTTCGTCACTTATCGAAATAGCATTTTCACTTGAATTTTCCCTGGCCAGTGGTCCAGCCGTTCGTTTACGCACCCAGATAACACAGCCGTTATCAAAACACATCTGATTCCTTCTTTTCTTTCTTTTCTTTTTTTTTTACTCAGAAATTCCCTGTCATTGTAATGACCTCCTTTTTCATTTGTTACTTATCAATATTTTCATTGTCTCTTAGCCGTGTGTGTGGCTGCTTATCACCTACGATTCGTCTCGCCTTTCTTTCTGCCTTCTTTTCTTTCTCTTCATTTCTCTGCCTCGTAAATGGTGCCACAATTCTAAGATACATTATAAGGCAGTACATTCTGTTTTGTGGTCTTTGGTCTCGATGGTTCTGTTTGCCAGAAAAAAAAAAAATCGACTAAAAAATTACTATGTATACAAGTTCTTCAAAAGGGACTCGGTAGAAGGTGTTTTTCAATTTGTTACAAAAAGTTTGAGTTCTGTAAAAAGTTTTATATGGACAAGAGAATCGGTGACCTGTAGGTTTATATATATTATTCTTAATAATATTATTATTAATTGCAAGTAAATATACAATTCTTTAAATATAAACTGAATGGACATCAAGAGGTGGACTTGGCGCCGTTTGAAGTCAAGGTAAAGTTACGAAAATTCAGTTACTGTTCAATTTATATTAAACAGATTTTAAACAAACTCAAATCAATAAACTAGTGCAGGTTTGTTTTGTTTGATTTTACTCAACAGCATATCAACATCTCTATGAGTCATTCAAGGCTGAAATCTACACATTTTTTATAGCTTCAAGTACAGATTTTTGTGCGTAATTTTATACTTTCAGTATATGAGTATATGAGGAGGCACTGTGGAGTAATGGAAAGCGGCTCGGATTGATGAATCGGAGAGCTGAGTTCGAATTCCAGTCGAATCCATTATATTAACTTACGTGTTTTATCTTACGTACTAATACCCTTGGGAAAGGTATTAATCCGCTTCTTCTCTTTCCAGCTATGGTTAAATAGTAGAACAGATTAGGTTCTATAGCCTTGGATGGCAACTAGAAGAACAACTCTGAATTAATGAGTATAGCACGGAGTACTGTCTTCGGCCCTTTAAAAAGTGTGGTTGGTTCTACACAATGCATGCAGGAGGCACGGTGGAGTAATGGATAGCGGCTTGGAATCGGAGAGCCGAGTTCGAATTCCAGTCGAATCCATTACATTAACTTCAAAAAAAAACTGACTAACTCTTCTTCTCCCTCCAGCAATGGGTAAATAGCAGGACAGACTGGGTCCTATAGCTGAGGAAGATGGCAATTGGTCTAGGAGAAGTTCAACTCTGAATTAAAACCTGCGGAGGGTCGTTTGGGGACCTTATGGCTTCTCATAGCACCAAACAAATTTGTAATCGGCCCTTAAAAAAGTGTTGGATGGTCCTGCAGAAACCTTCACCACTATAACCAAATGTCATTGAATACATGCGGGTTTCAAAATATTGTGATTTTCAAATTCCCATGAAGATCCAATAAAGGAAATGTCCAACCCACCCCGGGTGAATGTGTACAGAGTAAAATCAGCAATTATAATCCAAAAACTTATTTGCTGGTGTTTGGTTGTCGGTTTCTAGGAACTGAACTGTTTGATCCTCGGACGTCAAATGCGACGGGAGAATCCACCATGTTTTATAGACATTTAGTTTGTAGATGATTTATGTTATATGTTTTGGTATAAAACTATTTCTTTAAGTTAGCTTGCGCCAAGGGTGGGCAGACGGCCTTTCTTGAATGTCCGCTTCATTGTCTGCCCTTTCTAAAAACGGCCAGATCGCAATCGAATTTCACAAAGACATATGATATGTACGCATACGATATATGCATTCATTTGCTTTTTGTTTAATTTAATTTAACACGAAAGTTAGTTCAATAAATTTATTCCAATTAATGAGATAGAAAAGCAGAGAAAAATCTTTTACAATAATAAATTCTCTGTAAATCTTGTGAAACGCTTATTGCAAAGTGCAGAAATAGCATTATATGCTTATCTCCTGTTGGTGGACATAGAGGCGCCTAGATGC